TGTCCTGATAGCTCCTCCCCTGTCCTGATAGCTCCTCCCCTGTCCTGATAACTCCTCCCCTGTCCTGATATCTCTCCAGTGTGACCTGTTAGCTCTCATTCTTTTTCTGCTAACTCTGTGCCTTCAGGTGCTTTTGAGAATTGATGTAGTGAAGACAGGGACAGGTTAAAAGCCATTCTCTGCCAACTTTAGCCATCTTTTCAAAGAAGCAATTTCTTGTCATCTTGGTCTGCCCTGTAGTCAGTGTCCTGCTAGAACCCTCAACCACACCAAAGCACTTTTCTTGGTTCTCCAGTGATTCTAGAAGAATCACATCATCCTCCTAAATTATAGTGTGGCAGAAAATGTTGTTACCACTTCCTTCCAGTGAACCCTTTGCCAAGACTCAGGCCTTGCTCGCAACTATAGTTAAAGGAAAACAGTTATGTACTGACTAATGCTTACAGATTAAATGACAGGCTGACATAGAGGTGGCTGTGTGTGCAAGCCAGGAGCTTACAGATGCCCCTAGGGAGTTCAAAACATATACTTTGCAAATGCTTTCCAAGCTAAAAGCTTCAATACATCAGTAAACATAACAATAATTTAAAATAGATAGATGCTGGGATTTCTCACAAGAAAAACAAACAAACATCAAAACCAGCTCACTAAAGAAGTCTTGCAAATAAAAATAAGCCTTACTGCTTTAGCCTGTCTGAGTTTACTTATTAGCAGGGTAGGGGTAAGGTAAGGTGGGTGTTGCATGCACACATTACTTGTTTAGTGTCTCCCTTCCTACCTGAAAACAAACGAGGGATCTGACAACTAGCACTTGAATCCTGTCTGGTGCGTTGCAGGAGCAAATGGAACACACACCAAATCACTAAACGCCACATTGTGTTTTGTTCTTTTCTGCTCTGTTGTAGTTGCAGAATTAAGAAAAATCTTCGAACCAAAGAGGAAAGAGTTTTTAGAAATGAAAAGGTAAAGTCTTTTGTGGTGTGTCACCAGTGGGTAGAGCCATTTATCATGGCAGCATGGAGCCCATCCCTGGGCTCAGCTACCACCCTCACTGTGTTTTTCTTTGCTCTACTGTGCAGAAAAGAAAGAATTGCTAGGCGCTTAGAAGGAATAGAAAATGACCCCCAGCCCATCCTGTTGCAGAGCTGCACAGGGCTAGTGACTCATCGGCTGCTGGAAGAAGACACACCCAGATACATGCGCGCCACAGACCCTGCGAGCCCTCATACTGGTGAGTACCTGACCGTACTAGGCAGGGCCCTTGTCATGTCAGAACATTATCTTTATGCTCCTCCAGTGCTGGAGAATGAGACACCTGATACCCAGTTACAAATACCAACCAAAACAGCTAATGGAAGGAGAAGCTGATCCTGACTCACAGTTTGGGGTACACAGTCCATCATGACACTGAGAGCATGGCGTTGGGATGGAGAGGGAGAGGAATCAGGTCACATACACACACATATGCCATTGATGCTCCCCTGGCTTTCTTCTTCTTCACTTTTTTATTCAGTCTGGGATCCCAGCTTCTTGGATGGTACCACTTGCAGCAGGGTAGATGTTCCCTTCTCAGTTAAGCCTCTCTGGAAATGACTCTAAACCCAGACACATCAATGAGGAATATTAACCACCCATCCAATAACAGGGCATTGTGTGTTTCTTAAGTATTCTGGCTGTCAGACCCCTCTAGACGGGGACCCACCAGAGACAGGCATGGTGCCCATCTCTCCTCACCAGACTCTGCTGTCAAAGACTGTTGGTAAATGTCTATCTGTAAAGGAAGGGTCCTGCTGTGTCCTTCGGTTGTACTAAGTGTCCAGATGCCCAGCAAAAGGATGACTTCTCCAAGCAGACATGAAAAGCAAAGCTGGCCATGTGTGACTGTGGCTATTACTCTCAGGATTCATGCAGCATAGGCCTTCTAAATATATTGCATATATTTTCAACATGCTGTGTGTGACTTGGCTTTTCCTTGGGCATGCCCTGTCATGGACATTGGTTACCCGACCTGACCTCAGAGGTGACAGTGTACTCACTCAGAGCTGAGCTTCCAGCTGTGTCCCAGGCTCAGGCTCTGAGGTGCTTCTTTTAGCCTCTGTTTACCAGTTTCCTCTTCTGAGGTGGTTCATGATCTCACTGTAGGATGCTACAGTCTGCTGACATTCTCAACTTTTGATAAAGAACTATTCGAAGATCCAAGGATAGATAAAACTACCAGAAACAAACCCCTAACCCCCGAGTTCATAATGTAACATATAACTTAACCATCAGATATAGTGAGAAAGTTATGTAGCCCAGGCTGGCTTACACTCGCTGTCCTCTTGCTTCAGCCGAGTGCTGGTGCTATAGCATGCACAACCAAGAGGGGATTATTTACACTAGGAACTGAGTTAGTCAAGAGATGAGGAAAAGATGAATTCTTCTTTCCATTTCATTCCAACCCCCAAAGTAAATTCTGGTTAATCTTGTTATAATTCAAAAGAAATCATTGGAAACTTGTAAACATGGGCAAGTATTTCATTCAAGCACACTTAAAAGAAACAGTTGAAGAAATCTCCAAATGAAGAACAAGTCAGTATTCCTTAGAGCAGTGTAGAAATTGATTTCACAGCCTAGTAAGTGACTTAAGGGTCTCAAATGTTCTCAAATAATTAAAGATTTTTGATGTGTGTGGGTGTGTGTGGGAAACTGGGCAAAGCCACATCTATAAGAGCAATTACCATGTTGAGCACTGTGACATCACAGCCCGTCTCTTTAAATCACAGAAGTTCTGGTGTCTTTTCTCTTTTCTAGGAGAATCTGAACTTGCCCTTTGGCCTTGTGTAAAATAGTAAACTCACAAACAAAACATAAAAATACAGGGGAATAGATGCTGAGCAGAGGCCCCTGGGAGTCTGTGGGGCAGATGCCAGCCTAGTGAAATAGGGCCTTCAGGCCGGGCCCTCTGTAAGTGGCCGGCAGTGTGGTGAAATCACAATGTAATGTCTGTAATGGTACACAAGACTGTGCTTGACCTCCTGTGTTTTATCTTGTGGTCTTGCAGGGCGATCCAATGAAGAAGAAGACACTCCTGGGTCCTCCCTAGAAAAGCAAACGCCTTCTAAATACTGCACAGAAACCTCAAGCATCCATAGTTCGGGCTCCATGGACACCCACAGTCTGGAGTCCAAAGCAGAAAGGATCGCAAGATACAAAGCAGAGAGGAGGCGGCAGCTGGCGGAAAAGTACGGGCTGACCCTGGACCCTGAAGCCGACTCCGAACACTTGTCTCGATATGCCAAGTCTCGGAAGGACCCCGATGCGACTGAGAGACGAGGAAAAAGTGACAAGCAAGAAGAACAGAGCAAGGATGCCAGTTCACGCCACTCCCGGACAGAGTCAGGGCCTAGGACCAGCTTGGTGGTGTCCCAGGACTGTGCCTCGCTGGGAAGCAACATGTCTGACCAGGAGCTGCTGCTCAATATGGAGAACCAACGAAGAGTCCAAGAGCCTCCACTAGGAGATGGTTCCTCTGCCTTCTTTTCTGAGCGAAGCACTTCCTTCCCTGAAGTGCCCAGGTCTCCAAAGCAGATACCCAGCTCACTGCTGCAGCAGCCAATCTCCCCCAGCCACCCCGGTGACTCACCACTGCCCACAGAGGCCCGAGCCAGGTAAGCATTGAACATTTGTTCTTCCTTGGTGATCACTGATGCCCATAAGTCTCACTGCAAAGATACTTTGTAGTTTCTGTAGTATCCAGACAGAGCCTGTAAGAGCTAGAAACAGTCCCTACTTCCTCTGCCTTTCTGTCAGTGCCTTTTTTTCAACTAAGCATGGGGATATTTACACAGAATCCTTCATGCAGGACTCTTGCTGTGCTTCTGACTCAACTCGAGAGGGGTCTCTGTTTATGGGGCAGAGTCTGATAAAAACATATGTAGTATGGCATTGCTACATAAATATGTCTTCAGTAAGAAGAGCCACAACTGAGAGAAAGCCCTGGAAAAAAGAACCAGCCAAACACAAGCCCAGAAGTCAGATGACAGAAGAGAATGTGTGTTTGTTTCTAAATTTAAGTTGAAAAAATTGCTATCCATATTAAAACACTGTTTACTTAAATACCTAGCTTAAAATGTCAGGCTGGATGTCTGGGTAGATTCCTAAACATCCGTTCAATCAAACAACCAACGGTTTTATGGGTGAAGTGAGAAGGGCTGAAAACCCAGAGTCAGGCAAATTTATTCTGGGAGAATAATTAATTGTATGTGATATATATATGTATATATATATATATATACATATATATAATGGGAGAATAATTAATTGTATGTGATACACAGATATGTGTGTGTGTATACACATATACATACATATGTATATACACACTCACACATACATATATATGAACATATACTTATTATATTCATTTTAAGTACATGTTGGGAGCATCTTTTTGTTGGTTTCACTAGGACACGATGGTAAACATCTACTCCATCTTACGTGGCAGCTATGAACCTGAGGCAAACATTTTCGGTGCTGAAGTTTTTATAAGACCCGGGGCTGTCAGGGCTCTGTTATCATGTACTGGGTCATCCAGGCTCAGATGCTTGGATGCTAGCCTCTGAAATAATTATTCTATAAGTCCCCAGGAAGTATTTTGAGGACCTTTGTTCAGTGTTGGGACTCGAGCACTTGACACTGGGAAACAGAGAGAGCCATTCCCACGTATTTAGAGCAGCATCTCGCCTTGTAGCACACATTTCATAGTAAACATGTGGCAGGTAGTTTAGCTATTTCTATAAAAGGAAATCCTGTACATATTTTTATTTTACTATTTTTTAAAATATCTTTAATCTTTTTTACAGTCCAGTAATTATCCCCCTCTTAGTACCCTTCTGACAGTCCCTCATTCCATTCTTCCTCTTCTGTCTTCAAGAGAATGTGTCCCTACCCCACCCCACCCCACCCTGCCAGGCCTCCTCACTCCCTGGGCCTCAAATCTCTTGAAGGTTAGGTGCATCTTCTCTCACTGAGGCCAGACCAGGCAATCCTCTGCTGTATGTGTTGGAGGCCTTGTACCAGCTAGTGTATGCTGCCTGATTGGTGGCCCAGAATCTGAGAGATGTCGGGGTGGGGGGGGGCCAGGTTAGTTGATATTGCTGGTCTTCCTATGGGGTCACCCTCCTCCTCAGCTTCTTCCAGCATTTCCCTAATTCAACCACAGGGGTCCCCAACTTTAGTCCATTCATTGAGTGTAAGCATCTGTATCTGTCTCTCTCAGATGCTTTTTGGACTTCTCGGAGGGCAGCCATGTTAGGCACTTGTCTGTAAGCACACCATAGCATCAGTAATAGTATCAGGGCCTGAAGCCTCCCCTTGAGATGGGTCCCAATTTGGGCTGGTCACTGGACCTCCTTTCTTTCAATCTCTTCTCCATTTTTGTCCTTGCAGTTCTTTTAGACAGAAGTAATTCTGGGTCAGAGTTTTTGACTGTGGAATGACAACCCTATCCCTCCACTTGATGCCCTGTCTTTCTACTGGAGGTGGACTCTACAAGTTCCCTCTCCCCACTGTTGGACATTTCATCTAAGGTCCCTCCCTTTGAGTCCTGAGAGTCTCTCACCTCCCAGGTCTCTGGTACTTTCTAGAGGGTCCCCCACCTCCTACCTCCCAAGGTTGCCTGTTTCCATTCATTCTTCTGGCCATTCATTCTCAGGGCTTCAGTCCTGTTCTTCCCCAATACCTGATCATGTTCCCCTTTTCCTCTTCCCCTCCCATCTCCCACCTGTGTACCTCCCTCCCTCTGCCCCCGATGATTGCTTTCTTCTTCCTCCCAAGAGGGATTGAAGCACCCACACTTGGATTTTATTGCTATATTTCATTTATTTATTTTGCGTATGCACATGTGGGACATGCATGTTTGCAGTGTGGTGTGTGTTGTGCCTGTGATGGTCAAAGGACAATTGTAGGAGTCTGTTCTCCACTATCTGGGGCCTGGCAGTCAGACTCAGGTCAGCAAGTGTGGTGGCAAGCACCTCTACCTGTTGAGCAGACTCGCCAGCTACCCCCACCCCTACTGCCAGATGTTTTGTATATAGAGCAAAGAACCCAAGAGATGCTAACTTAGAAAAAGTACATCGATCTAAGAAAATGAAGAAGCTAATTTCTGATTTTCATGTATCAACTTTGATATCACTTCCTTATACAGGAATACCCTGAAATATTACTAGTGAAATGACAGTTTTAGGGCAATATTTACCCATTTGCCTTTGTTTTGTAATTATTTAGTATTCCATAAAATGACATGTTGAAGAGAGGGATGGATACTTAGCTCATCCTATTACATGCCCAGGAAAGGATGCACATTTTATTGTGAAGAAAATGAAGAGTATACATTCTAAGAAACAGGGGGCTGTACGTCAGGCCCAGCCATCCCTTGCCTCATCTGAAGGCTGTTCCTGAGATGGACTGTTGCTTGTGAATCAGCGAGGGTGGGTGTGGAAACAAAAGTGCCAACACTTTTTAGCCAGTAGTACTGGATTATTATCATCGTGTTGGCTGATCTTGTGGACTGTTCAGCCTAGAAAAAATATGAACACCTGCTCCCATCAAGGTCCTGAATCCCCAAACTCAAGTTCAGTGCTTTATGCAACTTTTGTTTCCTTATTGAGAGATAATGTTATTCTATGTGTGGAAATGCAGACGCTCTCTCCCTGGGGTCCTCAGCTGCTGTGTGCCTGAGCATCTCCTGTCACCTCAGTCTCAGTGACTAAAAGGAGGAGAATGAAATTCAACTTGACACCCTGTTCTGAGACCGGATTCGCTCTAGAAAAGCCTTGTCTGTTAGCTCTTTCTCAGTGTACTTCATCCAGCCCCTCTCCAGCTCTGCGTCTCCAATACGGTGGCTCGCCTGGTGCTTGAACTTGACAGTAGGGACGTCAAGGAGAACAGAGCTGAAACTTGTCCCTAGCAGAGCTGCCTTTTGTGGGTTATGGCCCAATCAGCGCTCATCTTGAGCACCTGCGCACTAGGAAATCATACTCCCTTCCCTGAAATACAGTAACACTTTGTAGCCCTGGCTGGCCTGAAACTCCCTATGTAGACCAGGCTGGCCTTCAGAACTTGCAGAAATCTACCCATCTCAGCCTCTGCAGTCCTGGGACTATGGCCATATGTCTCTTAGCTACCTCAGTGCCAGAATTTGATGGGCTGACTGGTCTTTGTTACTTCTCAGAACTCATCTAGCTTTATTCTGTACATATCAGGAGCTCAGTAAACATATATCAGATCTCACACACACACATACACACACACACACACACACACACACACACACACACGTCAGCTTGAGTGTGAGCTTGTATCTGCCCCGTTGGTTGCCTTATTCAGAGATGAAAAGCCAATATATACTGGCCTGGCCTGGGAAGGTAGAGCAGAGACTGCACATGGGCATTCCTTCCTCACTGTCTGCTCATCTCCTCATGAGAGCTTTGAGTCCTGAAAGTCTCCAGACCCTCAAGTCCTCATGGTTGTGGTTGCTGCTCATCTGTCCACACCCTGTGGAGATGTCTGCCACGAAGTGTAGTACCTGGTGTTCATCCTACCGTGACTCCCATTAGCTCTGGGCAGCAGCTACCATGTCCTGTGGACACCAGGGTGGAGTGTGAGAAGCAGATCTCAGATCGATTCTCCAAAGAGGAGTCTTCTGCCGTTTTGCTGCTAATAAGTGGTTAACTCGTCTTTCTTACTGGCAAGTAGCATTCCATTGAATTCAATATGAATGTTTCATGAACTGTCAACCTGTGATGTATAGTAGACGATGTGTGTGTGTGAGATTGCCATTGTAAATTGTGTCCAGGAGTGTGGCCATTGCTGTACCCACACTTATGTGCACAGCAGCAGTCTCCCACACAGGTGACTCTCATCAGTTAGCTAAACTAAACGAGGTGGGAGAATCCCACCCTACTGTAATCAGATCTTCGTGAGACTTTGCTGTCACAAGGTTTTGTTTGTTTCTTTTACTTTGGGGACAAGGTCTCACCAAGTAGCTCTGGCTGGCTACAGATGGGGGGAGTTCTACTTCCTAGAAATACAGTTCTCCACTGGCTAGTCATATACTTCTGCTTCCTTATTCTCTCCCAGTGGAGGTGCCCTCTGCACAACAGGATCTTGGCTCACTCCCAACACCTCCTAAATGAATTCTAAGTCTGGAGATTGTAGCTCAGTTGGTAGAGTACTTAGGTAGTGCACAGGAAGCTTAGATTCGATCCCAGCACAATATGAACCACCACTTCCTGTTTGTGCGGTGACACTTCCTGCCTGTAATCCTGGGACTTGGGAGGCTGAGGCAGGAGTAACACCCATTCAAGTTTATCCATGGCTATTGCATGAACTCAGGGCAAGCTTTCTGTGTTTTCTTTGTAAATCCTTAATAAGAACATATAGTCTGTGGAGTGGTCATTCTTCTTTAGGCTACTTTACTATTACAGGTTTTTCTTGCCTATACATGTTATCAGAAGTATCTTAGCCTGGTTCTTAATAACTGTGAGACATTCCATTTTGCACTTTGACTGAGTTAAGAGCCAGATATCTTCACGGATGCAAGGCTTGTTCCTGTTTAGGATGAAGACCTTTTCTCCCTATTACCAGTGTTGCCTCTCAGAGTCTTTGATGCTGTGCTTTATAGGAGTTAGATATTTGTCTGAGTGAGCCAGGTTACAAAGTGACATTTGTAACTGATACAAAAAGATGAAAGGGAACTGTGTAACAAAGATCCACTGTGGCCAAGTTTCTTTTTATTTACTTCCTTCAGTGGGCATCTTTTTGCATGGACACTTTTTACATTTGTCTCTTTACCCATGTGTCTCAGTGAAACTTAGAAAAGTTAAGTTTCCTTCTATCTGAATTCCAATGTCCTGTAAGTGTAAACAGAGTATGACTACAGCACACTTTTATTTTAGTGACTAAAACTAATTTTTTCTAGTGGCTTTAGATTAATTTTTACTACTTGCTTCTTCTAGTGAAGCCAAATGACCAAACCTTCCAATAAGTAAATTTAAACTCTAAATGCACCATGTACTTATTGTCTTTCCAAAAGCTAACTTGAGTATCTCTCTCCTAAAAGCAACCTTTGGGGTTTGCTTATAGTAAAATGGTGTGGGCACAGGCATTGCCATGTTTACAGCAATGTGCTAAACTTTTGTTTCTTGTGCACAGTAGTACAGGGAAGCCCACACATGAGTGGTTTCTGCAGAAAGATTCTGAAGGCGATACACCTTCACTTATCAACTGGCCTTCCAGGTACACCCAGGTTGTACGCGCGTGGCCAATGCATGGCAGATGCTCCTCCCAGGATGCTCCTCCCCTCCCATCACCTCTCCTGCTCTACCACGCTTAACTAACAGTCATGCTCCTCTTTGCAACACCTCTGAAAATCATGTGTTCAAAAATCAGCTGCTTCTTCATCGTGTTCCCGATTGCCCTTCCCACGCTGATGTTATTCTTCTGGTTCATTTGTCTCTAACTTAACACTCTTCCTTGCTTGCTCACTTTCTCACCAATTCACTACGGGACTGCCAGCAGGGGGCAGTAATGAACACCTCCTCTGGGGCCACCCTACCCTGCCCATATCCCTTTCTTGCACCAGCTTTAGTTTTCTTGTTTCTAAACCAGTAGCTAATTTTCAATAGTTAAATTTAGGGCATGTGGCCTAATCATTTCATAATGGAGAAAGGAGGAAGAATTAAGAATGAACAAGTCACTAGCCAGACAAAGGTCCCATGTATTGAGTTTCTGACACTGACTTGTTCTCTTGAGATTGCCTCAGATAAGGTCCACACATTCCACAGGGGCCTTCATTGCAGCTCTGTCTTCTGACAGCAGCCTCTAGCAATGCCTAGTCTCAGAAAGCTACAGCCCAGAGTGCTTTTTTCCAAACACTCATACTAACTACCCTTCTGTGTGCCTTTGGTGTTTCCTCAAGGAAGTCTACTGACGATGCTCTATTTGAAAGCAGAGCATGTTTTATGAATTTGATAGGTCAAAGGAGGCCTAAGCAAGACAATTCTAAAGTGTGTGCATTATAAATAGTCACTTTTGCTCACTCATCTAAGTGAAATGCAGGTTTTACATTTTTCTAAGAAATCTCTTGTACTACCCCAAGAGCTTTGTGTACTTTTTGAAAGTTGACCTGGTCAGCAACCACCTCAGGTCAGATGCTTTTCCTTTCACACTGTAAAGTGGCATTTCAAAAAGTCTCTCACTGGTACAAATACTGCTGTGTCTTCTTTGCTAAGTAGAAAGTCATATGCTCTGCAAAAGCCTCCTTACCTTGTGGCACTGGTCCTTTCCGTGTGGTGGGGACCAAATACAAGGCCAGACAGCACAGTGCCCGGCAGCCCACTGTTTCCTCTAAAAGTGAAGCCCTGAGCTGGGAGGGCAGGTTGGGCCACGGCGTAGGGCCCCAGCCGTGCTTCTGGGCTTCTGTGAAGACAGGAAGGGTCTGCAGCTTTTGGCATCCTTTTCAGTGTTAGGAAGAAGTATCCTAACACTCCCATGGTAGTGTGGCTTCCAGTAAAGATATCCAAGCTGGTCCTGTCTTGGGATCAGATGACATAGTCAGCTGAGCATCTAAAGCCTGTGTGTGCTCAGTACTTCATGAGAGGTAATGTTAGCTCAGGAGAAAGCATAAATGACCACAAATGCCTACATATCTGGTGGCCAGTGACATGGCTGCATCTACTCCAAGAGTACAAGTTTCTTTGGAGCAGCCAGCCACCCTCGCAGCCCACACCTGGGTCTCGACATTTGCATAGTATCCTTCACCCTAATGCTCACAGTGGTATATATGAATGAAGCTTCCTGGGGCTGCTAGGTGCTTCACTGGGATAAGCCCATTCTCCCTCAGGACAGCATGTGACTGACTCTCAGCTTTCCAGGGGATGGAACTTTTAAACCACGCTAGAATATGGATGCAAATTTGGAGATTTCCCTCCATTTAACTGGCAAGTACTAGGTGTCTGTATTCCATGCTCAAGTGTGTTTTCACACGTGCTCTCTGCATTGGTTCCAATGCCATCCATGTTCTGTGCATGCTTCCTTTCCTCCAGTGATTACTACACCTCGCAACATAAATCCTATTTCTTTCTTAAGAGTTAAAGTTAGAGAAAAATTGGTGAAAGAGGAGAGTGCTCGTAGCAGCCCTGAACTCACCTCAGAGTCCTTAACTCAGAGGAGACAGCAGCCACCACCAGCGCATTTCCTGTCTATCCAGTCAGAAAGTTCCGCCTTTGATAGGGTCACCAGCAAAGCAGTGAGCTCACTGAGGCCAAGCCGGAGCGGTGTCCTGCCAACTGACCCTGTTCATGCCATCAAGCTGGTAACCATGGATACCCCAGAAAGTGTATCTGAAAGCAGCTGGGTGGGGTCAGCCACTCCAAAAGTTATAAAATCTACTACTTTGAAGATTCTAGAAGGTGGGTCAAGGGATGCTCCCGTACTCCATATTTGTGAGTCAAAAGCAGAAGATGTGCTCTCCCCTGAACCTCTGGAAAGGAGCCCCACATCGGTTCTTACCTTGGAAGATGACAGGCTTGTGAGAGGCCACAAAGACCCCTCTGGTAATAAAGATTTAGATGAGGCCATTGTTCGCTCGATTGACATAGAACCTGAGAGAGAGCGGCAACCTCAACACCCGCCCGCTCAGAGACCTGTCCGGAGTGAAATGCTTCTGTATGTTCAGAGTGATCCTGTGTCCCAAGATGCCACATTGACCAGTCATGCAAAGGAGGCATCTCCAAAGAAGCGCAAGGTTCTGGCCCGCTCTCTGTCGGATTATACAGGTCCCCCTCAGCTCCAGACCCTCAGACACAAGGATTCAGCCCCAAAGCAGGAGCTGGAGCTGCAGAGTTCCAGGGCAGAAGGGTCTGGTGCAGAAGCCAGCATGCTGGACACCAGAGTCTCCGTCGCCCAGCTCCGAAATGTATTTATGGAGTCGGCCAGAGCCAGCAAGAAACCTGAACTGTAGGTGATGTTCCCAGCGTCCTTTTGATATGTCACTTGCACGCCCTTGGCAGACGATTCACATCTCCACCTGTGATGTGTCCTGTAAGCTTAGCTCACAAGTGTGTGCAGGGCAGAGTGTACAGGAAATGGCTCACACACTACCATTCTGCTTCTGCCTACTAATGGGGATCTGGAGGAGTGGGTCTCTAGAATGTTTAGAATGTTCCTCGTGCAGATGTGCATGGTAGCAGCATGTAGAACCTAGCACTCTGTCTTGACTCACTGAGATGCATAAACCTTTTCCCCCTCTCTCTCTTCCCCTCCCTCTCTCTCCCCCTACCCCTCTCTCTTCCCTTTTCCCTTTCCCTGTATTGCACTCCCTGCCCTGTGGTCCTAAAAGCCAATCCCGGGTTGAGAGGTCAGCTGAAGGAATTGGCTTGCCCATGGAACGGGAGAGAGGGTCTCGGAAACCAAGACGCTATGTTTCTCCTGGTGAAAGTAGAAAAACTTCTGAACGATTTAGAACTCAACCTATAACCTCAGCAGAGCGAAAGGAGTCGGATAGGTAGGCATGTGTGTGTATACTTTTAGCAGTTCAAGCATAAGAGTTCACACTACCCTGGAGGGCCTGATGGCATTTGCATAGATTCCAGAATTATTCCATCTCAGCTATAAGGATAACTTATTTTACTAATAAAACGTATTTCCAAAGAATGTTGCTTTTCTATCTCGTATCACCTTGTGGTTTTAAGCTGCCCACAGATGAGGTGAGAAGAAACACTTTTTAGTCAGTACTTTTAGTCCTTTATGCTTCCCTTAAACTGTGTCTGAGTCAAGCATCCTCCGCTGAGCGTAAGGAATTTTGGACTTATCTTAGATACATCTTACTTCTTAAATCTACATTTTTGTATGACATCATCATTTTCGAATGTATAGAAGTTATAAAGTTCACCAGCAGTACACTCACAGTCCCCTTCTTGTCAATACTACCTTTTCTCCACAAGGTGCGCACCAAGCTGGGGTTGTGTGTACACGCTCCACAGTGTCAGCTAACCGTTGTTTGGTAGTTCTAGCCAGAGCTCGCACCAGTGTATCTTTAAATCTTTAAGATGGTTCACTTGCCTGATGTTTCCTGTGCAGCTTGTGTGTCCACCACTAATCACGATCATTTTCTGCTCCTGTCTTTCCTAGGTACCCTTCTGCTTCAGAAATGCCAGTGGTCGAGGGCGAGTATCTCCTTTCTTTTTTATCCTTTTATATCTTGTCCAAGTTAGATTTAATCTGGGCCTAAGATTTGGGGCTTTGTGGGAGAGGAAACCTGGAGCCCAATAGTTTCTTGCTTTCTTTCAAATTGCCTTGCTGTGAACCCTAGCTCAGATAAGGCTTCCCTTAGCTTTTGATTGAAGCTAAGAGGCTTGTTCAATGCATAATATAGAACAGCCATTTTTGACTTAAAAAAGTATGTTTTACTGATGACTACCACCATTCCTCAGCAAGGCAGTCTGCTCCTAGGACCTGTTCTTAAATCCCTCCTAGACAGACTGTTCAATAAACATCACTGTCTGGACACAGTTTGGTTTGAATTGCAGTGGGAGTTAGTACTACTCACTGAAGAGAAAGCATGGATGGGCTCCTGGCAGGGGAGACATCCCAGTTGTGATGTCAGTTCCTCTCCTCTTGGATTCAAGGGATGGCCAGGTCAGTCTTGAGAAGCATTTCAGAGATGACATGTGTACTTTCTAATGGGGTTCAGTTTTTATTTCATGGCTTTTACAGATGAAGAAAAGGTGGATGAACGGGCCAGACTGAGCGTTGCTGCCAAGAGGCTGCTTTTCAGGGTAAGGTGTGCCAAGTGGTTTAGCTTAGAAACCTTAACTCCTACTGAGAAAGAAGCCCCCGGCTCTGGCACCTCACACACTTGATGAGGGGGCCTCAGGTTTCCTCACCAACAGAGCCTGTTCTCTTCCCAAACTGAGTTAGGTAGTTCCCTTTACTGTAACAGAGTACCTGAGGTGATAAAGGGTTTATCACCTTTGTTAAAAAATGAAAAAGTTTATCCTAGCACACGACTTCAGAGTTTCTACTGTATGAGCAAGCAGTTGGCTCTACGGCTTCGGGCCTGCACTGAGGCAGCACTCCGTGATGGAAGCAGGCAGTGCAGAAAGCTGCTCACGGGTAATAGGAATGAAACTGAGAGGCAGAGACAGGATTCTGGAATCCTTTTTGAGGGTGATAACCTTGAACTTTGCCCCACCAGTATCAAGCTGGGACCAAACAAGCCTTTACCACAGAACATCAATTGGCATTCTCAAACCATGCTTCAGGATCTGCTGTGACTGGTTTTAGCCACCCAGCCAACCTGGCCTGAGGTGTTCATTCTGATGGCCTCTCACTAGAGTCCCCTCCCATGGATCCTCCAGGAAAGCAGCAGACAGACACTTGCTATCCCAGTTTTTTCTTTGAAATCATGCGATCCCACAATGTTTTCTAACTGCAGGAAATGGAGAAATCCTTTGATGAACACAGTGTCCCGAAGAGACATTCGAGAAATGCAGCCGTGGAACAGAGGCTGCGTCGCCTGCAGGACCGTTCACACACACAGCCCATCACCACGGAGGAAGTGGTCATTGCAGCCACGTGCGTCTATGGGGGAGTTCTTAGCCTGGCCTATCTTTCTATCTTTAAAGGAAGATTCAAGAATTTTCTATAAGAATGAGGCAGTTTAGCTAGAAACTGTAAAGAGGTTTATATTTCATACTTACTTTTGGTACTTACTTTTGGTTTGTTTTTTCTGCTGTCTAAGCAGTAATGGGATGTACCTGTTGTAGGTCCTAGGCTTATGTCTGAATCGATTTTATCCCTGTGTTTTCTCTTTCACAATGACAATATAAAACAAGAAAGTAGATGAACAGTGCTGAGCTTGGCGTCAGTGACTGTGGCTCCTGGGCTGTCTTTCTCCATATGCATTATCTTCAGCCACGCCACGACCATTTCATTCTTAAATATTTTAGTACATACCTCTAAGAGATAAGCACCCATTTTGTTTTTAAACCATCGACAAAGTACCTACAAATTAATTGACAGTTGGACACTTTCCAAACAACAGGAGGCCTACATTGGGGCAGTCTGCTGGTGTAAGCTCGAATTGCTTACTTTGAGTGACTGGGCCACTCGTTAGCAGCTCCAATATTTATTGGTTTTTGTCAGGATTTCTGTGGAGTGGTGACATCCCTAAGAACCCGTCTGCAGGTTGCTGTTGGAGCCTGCCGTGAGGTCATCAGCCTTCATGGCGTTCCCCAGCCTTGTGCGTGCTAGACAATGCTTCACCAGTGAGCTACCTCCCAGCCTTAGGCCCCTCGCTTTCTTGATGTGTTTGCAGACAGGTATATTTGTGCATTTACCCAGGACTCTTAGCATAGCCATTTGTTTCCAAAATAATGTCTTGGATTGGGTGGTAGACACTCTAGCAGATACCCGAAACTATAGCTGGACTCTCCTGACCGGCTGTGGTTGATACATACTAGCTCTTTAAGTGACTTCTTAGAATGAGGCTGTTGGTTCTAAGCCGGCTTTTTCAAGCATACTCCTCTGCTCCTCCGTTTACTCTGGGCGGCCTGTGCCTCTCGTTCCTTCCATCTGTGTCGCTTTCCAACATTCTTTTGCGGTTCATTTCCCCTCAAAGTGTATAGCAAATATTTTTGGTAAAATATTTGACTTTTGCATTTCTGGATTTACAGTTATGCCTTCTTTAATGTTTCTTTTCTTCTCTCTCCTCATGAATGCTCCTCCTTTGGCCATTGCTTTTAAAGTGAACCTATCCCTGCTTCGTGTCCTGGGGTCACCCACCCTGTAATGGCGAGACTTCCTAGCCCCTCTGTAGCTAGAAGCCCTGTGCAGCCTGCCAGGTACTGGACACACATAGCTGCATGTAGCACCCAGTGCCACGGTGCTGGGCAGCAGGTGCATCTTTGAATGCCTTTCATTTGTCTGACAAACAAGTCAGTGCAGTGAGTGTTCCTGAGATGTTTGATGTTTTGTCCTGTCATAGTACAAGGTACCGTTAATTTCATGACTGTGTGAGAAAGATAAGTCCATCTGTCTGCTTTCTGTGTTGGCACTAACTAATATTGTACTAACTTACATATATATCTTTTTTTTAATGTAAAAATGGTCATTCCTTAAAGACTTTATTTTTCATCTAAAATACTAATAGGTAAAGACTAATTTTAAAATGGACCATTAACATGAGATTGAAATGCTGGCAAGATCTAGTTATTTTTAAATATGTGTACACAGAGATCTAGAGCAAAACCAAGTACTTCTGTTTGCTAATTTGGAGAGAGGAGACAATGCCTTTAGATTTTAGGATTGGTTGTAGAAATTATAGGATTCAGTGTTTTAAAATTATGTTTATAAACTATATAAATACCCACTTTGTCTTAACTCTGATAAGCTAACAAGAGCTAAAAATAAGACTCAGAGATGTTATATGACAGAGCTAGAGTAAACCAGCCTGATCCAGAAGCAGAACTGTCTTGAGAAAGATTGTTTTGCCTTCCCTGGAAGGCTGGGATTCTCAGGCGTCCTTGCTCAATCTCTGTCTTCATGACGTCTGGACACAGAGACTGCCTGTCTGGGAGCCTGTGGAGCAGTGATTAAGAAGAGCGAAGGCAGAGTGTCCTTCTTAGAACAGAGTTGCCCGGGGCAGAGACGGTGTTGACTTGGAGACCTTTGGAGAATCATGCTGCCCTCCTGGCCTGGAGCCTTCTCCTCTCCCTCCCAGTGGAAGCTATTATTATTATTGCTGTTGTTATTATTTTCTGGTGCACTGCACATGCTCACCCGGAGCTGTGCTACCATGGCCCTCACAGTCCTACCTGGGGTTGGGGGATGTTTAATCACCTGAAGTTTTCTTCACCTTTCAAGTTACAGAGAATTACATTTAAGGCATTTTGGAAATTGGCAGAAACCTGGGAGAGCAGTGTGTTTAAACCACACTCTGACAGAGAAGAGCTGCTTAGCAGCTTTTGTCACTGACAGGAGACCATGTTGTCCCTAACTACTCAAAACCCAGAGACAGCCTCATGAGCAGCATCTATAGAGGATGTCTGAGGCAGGGAATGACTTTAGTGCCGGCAATAGCAACCATCCAGGAGTTCTCTCTAGGAAGGAAGATCAGGCTGATACCACTTTCTTCAGCAGGAGATTTCCTTTATATATATATAATTCAGAGCTAAAGGTCTGCCTGTCTGATGGTGCTGGTGTCCTGTGCTGATTCTATTACCCACTGTCTTGATTAATAGCTAAACAGCTGCCTGCCTCTCACCCAAACCCATACGGAGAGTGAGCCCTTTGCAGAATACATGGCACTTTTAAGAAAGTTCGTACATAAATTGGTGGGAGGCATTCATTTGTCTTTCTTTGTATGGTTGACTTCTCCTTCCTTGCTTCTAGGTTACAGGCATCTGCTCACCAAAAGGCTTTAGCCAGGGACCAGGCAAATGAGGGCAGAGAGTCTGCTGAACCAGGCGAACCTGATTCTTCCACTCTGAGCTTAGCAGAGAAATTGGCCTTGTTTAACAAATTGTCCCAGCCGGTCTCCAAAGCCATTTCCACCCGAAACAGAATAGACGTTCGGCAGAGGAGGATGAACGCAAGGTATCAGACCCAGCCGGTCACGCTTGGAGAGGTGGAGCAGGTGAGTGTGTTAAATATAACTGCAGTGTGTGTGTGTGTGTGTGTGTGTGTGTGGTTTATGTGTATGGTGTATGTGTGTGGGGTGTGTGTGTGTGTGTGTGTGTGCTCTGTGTGTGTGGTTTATGTGTGTGGTATTTGTGTGTGCTGTGTGTGTGTGTGGTTTATATGTATGGTGTATATGTGGTGTGTGTGTGTGTGCTCTGTGTGTGTGGTTTATGTGTGTGGTATTTGTGTGTTCGGTGTGTGTGTGTGTGGTGTATATGTGTGGTGTGTGTGTATGCTGTATGTATGTGTGTTGTGTGTGTGCTATGTGTGTGGTGTGTGTGTATGCTGTATGTATGTGTATGTTGTATGTGTGATGTGTGTAGGGTATGTGTAGTTTATGTGTGTAGGGTGTAAGGTATGTGTGTATATATGTGTCCGTGTGTGTGGTATGTGTATGTGTGTGTAGAGTGTATGTGTGTATGTGTGTGTGGTGTATGTGTATTTTCTTTGAATATAGCTGAACAGTATTGCTCTTGGGTTCATGGTACAGGACAGGGTCAACAGGTAAGCCTGTAAGTGGCTTCATCTTCCCATCCCTAAGGAGGAACCAGGCCCACGTTTGCTGTTTCCTCTGTTGTTCATAACTTGTTTGGAATGAGTCCACTGTGGTCGACTATAAGCAGAGGCAAGCTGCCTCCCCAGAAGGTCTGTTTGTGATGCGTTCTGTGTGTTCTGTAATCATGCAGGCTGGTTTTCCAGTAAGACTTGACAGGAGGCCTACTGCAGGTGCATTATCCCCACCTGTGCCAGCCCCTCAGGTGATGATGCTTCTAAATTGTGTCCCCAACAGGTGCAGAGTGGGAAGCTCATCTCCTTCTCCCCCACCGTGAACACCTCTGTCTCTACCATGGCCTCTGCAGTTGCTCCCACATATGCAGGGGACCTTCGGAAGCCACCCATAGACAACAGCACAAGTGCCACTGACTATAAGTCTCCTATGGAAAACTCAGACTCTCCAGTCAGAAGTATTCTGAAACCACAAGCTTGGCGGCCTTTGGCAGAGCACAGTGGGAGCAAAGGAATGCCGGGGGAGTCTGGAGAGACAGAAAGCAAGAATGCTCTGACTGTGGCTGCAGAAGACAGTGGCGTTCAAACACGAGCAGCCTTCGAGGAGGAAGTGGAGCCCTCCTACCCAATCCTTGGCAGAGTCAGGGAGGGTGATGGCCAGAAGGAACCTAAGCATGCCATTCTAAGGAGAGGAAGCTTAGAGCTAGGTAATCCTTCTGCTGCATACCTTGGTGATGAGCTGACGGAATTCTCCACTGCTAAAAGCAGTTTGCAAGGGAATCTGGACCTGAAGGATAAACAGGCCTTGGAGGAGAGCGCAGATGTGGAGAATGTCATGAGGAAGTTCTCACTCAAAGGTAAGACCCTGTAGCTAATTCCCTGGCTTTCTAAGGGCTCTACCATCTGACAGACTTCTCACACGTGCTCCTGTTGTTTCTGGTTAACTACATCTAGAGATGGGTTATCACTAGAATCAACCAGAAGGTCAGCGAATCATAGTCCTTTTCCCAGGCCTCTCTTCCCCTTCACTCTGACACAGTCAGTGAACTGATAGTGTCTACAACAGCAAAAGTGGCTGCAATTCTTAACACCCCTTGATAAGGGTTTCAGGTGACTGGTGACATTAACTCACACAATAGCCTTTTGATCTCCTGGGCTGTGCTGACCCCTTTTACTAAAGTTGATGGCCCAAAAGTCCTGCACCCAGCAAGCACAGAGACTAAGGACTTGAACTGGCATGGTTTCCAGACTCGTCATGCATTCTGATCACACAGAGCATGCACTGTCTGCATTAGAGTCTGACCTGCTTGGGTCCACACACATTGGTCGTATGTCAGCTGAAACAGGCTTGGGTTGAGTTCAGCTCACTAGAAATGAAGACATGTTGTTTTAGAGAAGTGAACCCCACTGGCAGCCCAACTGACTCGGGCTAGCTTTCTCTCAGTGGCTTGTGCTGCAGTAGCCTGGGTAACCCACCGTGTGTCCACAGCCTGACTGGTGCTGCACCTCTGCACCAGTGTGAACCAGCTGAACCTCTGTGTTCAGCTGCAGAGATGTTTGCCTGGGGACTGATGGTGACTGGCTCTCATTCTCAGAGTTTGAAGAAACTGCTTCCGAGCAGCCAGAGGCGGCTGCTGGAAAAGCCTCTGTTCAGATGGCAACCCCAGGGGCCTGGAAGCAGCAGGAGTCCTCTGAGCAACTAGCAGAGAAGCTCTTCAAGAACCCTTGTGCCATGTTTGCTTCTGGAGAGGTCAAAGTGCCCATGGGCGACAGTATCCTGGATTCACCCAGCAAAACCATGTCAATCAAAGAAAGGTAAGCTCTCTGGTGATTGGCAGGCATATTGTGGAGGGATGCCAAGTTGCTGGGCTATGCCATCATGCTAAAATAACCCTGAGAAGCCGAGGCATGTGAACACAAGCTATGCAAAGTTGAGATGTGCAGTCCAGACTCAGAGGAAGGATGAACAGGGACACCTTGTTTGTCTGTGGTCTCTGTCTCTTATTTCATATCCAGTTTTCTAGGAGCTGCTATTTAGGCTGTCTCTCCTGCAGAAACATGTGATTCAAACTGCAAGTGCAATCATCCTCTGCTGTTCTGGGTAAAATAAATGAAGAATGGAGATAGATAAGTTCACACAGAGAATCTGTGTCTTACAGATTAGAATCTATTTGCTGTCTATTATAGGAAATAAGATGAATTGCCTTTTTCGAAATTTTTTTTACATTTACTTATTTGTGTGTATGTGAGTACTTATACATGTGCCATAAAATATGTGTGTACGTCTATAGACAACTTGCAGAAATCACTTTTCTTCCAGTGTGTGGTTCCTGGGATGGAACTCAGGTTGTTGATCTTGGCATGCTGAGCCATCTCACCAGCCAAAGGCGGATGATTGTTTTGAACATTTAGAAATTTTCTTTTTCCCTCCTTCCTCCTTCCCTCCCTTGCTTTTCTCTCCCTCCCTTCCTCCTCCCTCCCTCCTGTGCTGGTGAGTTCACCTAGAGTTTTATACCTCCTAGGGAAGCACTTTACCACTGAGCTGCAGCTCCAGCCCGGGAAATTTTTATATAGACAGTAGCTGTGGGATTTCTTGATTCACTTGCTTGTTTTCAGTAAACTCTGGTGGATCTGTATCTTTCTGTGAGTTTTACCCTGAGGGAAAACTCTTTTGTTTAAAGCTGAACTTCTGTGGAGCACTGCTTTTTAACCAGGCTTCGTGGAGAAGTTAGAAAGTGACTCAAGGTGTCTGTGAACTACCTGGAAGGGGGTCCAGACAGGGGTAGATGGCATGCACCTGTTGTCTACCTGGAGCCAAAACCTCTCAGAGAGATTCCTGACCCAAGTCTACTCAGAATCCTGGCAGGAGTGCTTGCTAAATATTCAGCTACTCCATCTCATTGTTAACAGGCTTTTTGAAAGGCTAAGGTTCCTTTATTTAGCAATTATGTTGGCTATCATAAAGTATGTTGATAAGAAATAGATCACCCATGACCTCCTCCTGTGCCTTGATGGTACTTTTGTGTGTATGTCACTGAAAATACCCAAGTATCTATCTTTGCCACTCACGAGAGGAGGTTCCCTGAGTGGGCACTCTAATTCTTCTCATCTTTAAATGTGAGAAGGAAGGTGTTACTCAAACATTTATTTGGGCTTTGCTTTTCTTTCCTGGGGTGACATATAAACTTCCAGGTTTTTCAGATCTTATTTAGTCCAGCTATTCTGACTGCCTCTATTTGCCAAAGGAGGTGTCTTAGTAAGGGTTTCTATTGCTGTGAAGAAACACTATGACCATGGCAACTCTTATAAAGAAAAATATTTAACTGGAGTAGCTTACAATTCAGAGGTTTATTCCATTGTCATCATGACAGGAAGCATGGTGGCAACAAAGGCAGACAAGATTTTGGAAAGGTAGCTGAGAGTTTTACATCAGGATCAGCAGACAGAATAGAGACATTGGGCCTGGTTTGAGCATCTGAAGCTGCAAAGCCCACCCCCAGTGACACACTTCCTCCAGCAAGGCCAGACCTACTCCAACAAGGCCACACCTCCTATTGGTGCCACTCCCTGTGAGCCTATGGGGGCTGGTTTCATTCAGATCACTACAGTAGGGGCTTGGTCCCAGCACTCTCAGCTCTGTGCACTCACTGCACTTGGCAAGTTGACAACCCCTGAGCTCAGGCAATCCTCCTGCCTCAGTCTTCTGAGTCCTTGGAGCTTGTGGTTACTATGTCACTGTGCTTAGTTCTGCTCACACATTCCTACCTTCAGACATGAGAGTCAGCAATGTGGAGCATAGAGTTTGCCATGAGTTCTAATAGCTGTGCCCTTCGGCTCACTGCCTGGGCCTCTCTTATGGTAGGGACTAGGCCACAAGTTCTCTGCTGGGATGCTCCAAGCACCTTAGTCCCTACTCCTCAGAGACTGAGGCAGGAAGTCCATATGAGCTCAGAAGTTTGAGGCTAGTCTAGGATGCACACTGGGACATAATCAAGTGTAAAGCTAAACAAAGGTATAGTAACCAAGAAATTAATTTTACAAAACCTCTATATACTCCTTTAAAATTTTTACATTTACTCTTAGTGTATGTGTTTGTGTACTGTGTGATGCCTAGGAAAACACATGAAACTAAAATGCAGACAAAAAGCTCACTATCAATACTAACTCTTCTGACTTTTTCCGTGTAATCACTCACCAGTGCTGCTCAGCCTAAATCCATGGGTGCTTCTGTGTCTCTGAAATGTCTAAAGAGGAAATACGAATACCTTAGTTGATATTCGAGGCACATGACTGTCCGTCCCTTGCTTGACCCAGCCCTGACTGTCATGAGCCTGGAAAAACTTGTCCTCATCCAGGAGGCTCTCACGCCAGAACTCCTGCTGAGGATCAGGGGCTGTGGTAAAGGCCACATGGCAGCCTGGTGACCACATGTCGCATTGGCCCTGGGCCAGATCTCTGTGTTAGCAGGCTAATACTGTGCCACTCACTGGGTATGGAGCCTCGGCCTAAGCAGATGCCCCAGCTCTCCACACCACAGCCAACAAATAGCCCTTAGACTTGGCAGATGTTAAAATCACTGACAATTGTTGGCACCACACAGTGGCAATTTATGTCATGTGTTGACCCAGACCTTCACCCTCTGCTGTGGTGATGAAGGGCCATGAGATTACCAGAGCAAAGAACAAGACTCAACGATCTGCTGCCCTCCACAGCTTGTTGAAAACCAATAGGAAATCAGAAGAGATGGGATAATACTCTCAGGTTCCATGTGCTGTTATGAAGTCCCCATAATCTGTACTCCGTAAGGGAGGGCTGGGGCAACTACCATGTGGCTCAACCGAAGCTGTTTCTCCCATATCACTTTGCTTACTCTGGAGTCTGGAAGTTCCTAGCACTGAAGGAACCAGCATATTGAGAAGCAACATTTCAGGGCTTTAGAATGGAATAGTTCTGTGGAAGCCATACTGCAAGGGCAGAAGAGCATTGCAAGAAATTTGGAAGGCTGTGCTTTTCCTGACGGAGGTGAGCCGTGTGTGTGTGTGTGTGTGTGTGTGTGTGTGTGTGTGTGTGTGTGTCCAGCTCAGCTTCTCATGGGAAGGTGTGTGTCCAGCTCAGCTTCTCATGGGAAGAATGGACTGGGACTTTGAGAGGCAAGAATGGAATCACATCTCCTCTCCCACCCATATGCAGTAGGCCCTTGCTCAACAGGACCTTGACTGGTCTGCATCCTCGTTCCTATCTGATCATGAGAACAACACATGCAGTTTCTTGGCAAGGTCTTTGCCCATCAGTGGAGTGTAAAGAAGATGATGGAGTGATTCTAGATTCCACAGTTTTCTTTTTATGAATTCATCTCCTGTCCCTCAGAGCAGCTCCAGGGTAGCCATGTTTTTGTTGAGAAGCCCTTGCACTGCCTGTGGCAGTCTATACTTCTGAGAGTTAGGATTTGCACTCTGTAAATCCAGTCGGATGGAGGTGATGGGCAAGAATGCCTGCTCTGAGTCAAAGGTAACATGAGAGAGTAGCCAGTAGCATACATTTGTAAATATAATAGATTCTATTTAATATAGAATGTGGTTCCTTATTCGCTTAACACAACTCTTATCATATGGAGCCCATCAGTAGGACACTTGCTTAGAATGATTGAGGCCCTGGATACTATCCAAGGACCACCAGCAAATTATCAGATAAGCTTTTATCACAGAGTGTAAAGCATCCTGCCACCGGGTCAGGTATTGGATAGAATCAGGAAATTTAGCACTTGGGGCCCTGAAGAGCCCCATGTTCAGGTCACACATAACAAACAAGGCAAGGAGGACAAGGTTCCTGAGTAGAAATGGCAACAGCTAAACTAACCACTGTTCTTGTTGGTGGGACTGACAAGAAGCAACTGGGCAGACTGGGGGATAGGGGCCGCTGTGGTGGAGACACACTGCAGAGGGAGGCACCGTCCATGGCAGCAAGAGCTTCTGACATAGTAGCCAAGTGTTCAAACACATGAGCCTATGGGACATTTCATGTCCAATCACAACAATATCCAAACCCAGACTACAGCTGCTTGGCAGCCACTGTTTTGGGTCATGTATGTGGTCACAGGCATGACCTGTCAGAAATCACAAGGGAGTGGGATCTCTTCACCTCAATTCTTTACTCCCCCGCCCCAGCCTTTAAGTTGTTTGAACACCAGCCTCCGTGAGTCTCCTAGGCCCTAGTTTGTCCATTTGACTCTCCCACATTTAAGTTTTGTTGAACGGTAATGGCTGAAATATTTTCCTCTGTGACAGCATGCTGTCTAAAATAGCCTCTTGCTCTGCAAGATGGCTGCTCAGACAGAACCAAACGTGCAAGCAGCTTTAGATAAAGTCCATTGTACCTAGCCTAAAGTGTGTTGGTAACACCCTCCCTTAATGAGATTCTTTTTTTTTTGGTATATTTTTTTACCTTGGAGAAAGTTGAACTAATAATTTTTCAAAGCAGGTTTTTAGAAAGTAGTTTTTGTGTAAAGACAAGGTAATCTAGAGGGAAAGGCGGGGCTGAGGACAGAAGAGAAAAGCGATTAGGCGTCATGTACCATTACTTGAAGTAGATACTAAGATGCCACATCTTTCTGTTTTTATTAGTGTACTTATTGTACAAAGCATTGTTTCACTGTGACATTCCCACACGTGAGTATAGTTCTGTTGTTTGGGAACCACATTGTTACTCTTCATGTTTTCTAACTGCCGCTTTCATCTTTAAGCGTTATTCCCCCAAGTGACCAGGAGGGGGCATTAGACGGCATTTCGCCAAGGACCGTTTCTTTTCTCTCTCCCGTTGCTACAGGGCAGGAGGAAGGCAGAGTCCCTTCCCTTGCTGCCGTGTTGATGCCTATTTATCTGACAAGTCAGTTCCAGCTTTTCTTTCCAAACAACTAAAGAAATCTTTATGACTGTCTTGGAAAAGAGGCTCTTGTAAGTTCTGAGAGTGGGGTGCTGAATTCTCGGTTGGCATGTCTCCTTCCAGGCTGGCACTGTTGAAGAAGAGTGGCGAGGAAGATTGGAAGAACAGGCTGATTCGGAAGCAGGAATATGGCAAAGCCACCGGCAGCCTGCAGGAGGTGGAGCAGTCCCTGAAGAAAAAGGTACTGTGTCCACCTGACGAATGCCTCGCTGGGACTCAGGAATGAGTGTGTGGGGGGTAACCACACCTGCTTTAGAGCACAGGCGCTTCCTTGCCCTTAGGAGACACGGTTTGTCATGACACTGCTAAAGCTAACCACTTGGTCAAGGCTGGAGGCAAGGGTGCAGCACCGTGCAGTTACCTCAACAAACAAGTGCCTCAGTTTCCAAATGTGTTCACTGTTAAATCTTAAATGCAGTCTGGTGTTAGAATATGATTAAGGTCTTTCAAATGAGACAACAACTAAACACAACAGTTTATAAGCTGCATATCAAACACGGACTTAAGTTGCAGTCCATGAGGGCGTTCTGTCTAATCATGAGCCTGTTTCATGATGATAAGGTATAGCTTTTATTGAAGACCTACATATGGATATCAGTTAAATTAAGTCACATGTGAGAGCATTTCATATGTGGGCATATCAGTGACTTGTTGAATCATAAATGTAGTGATCGTCAGCCTTGGCCAGGTACTCCACGCTTCAGCCATGATGTCCTTGCCCACTGGTGCTGTGGATACAAATGTGCTTGCTAGCTGAAGCAGAATGACACACTTGAGCCACACCCAATTATCCAACTTCTAGAATCGTCTAAAGTCTTCAGACAGAGAACATATATCTGAGTAGCAGAGGTGTCAACTGTGCATGGTGTCACTTCCCAATGCAGTTGTGTTGAAAGATCCAGATCCCTACAGTCAGGTCAAAACAAGCTCAAACCGAGATGGATTTCCTACAGAGCTGCTTAAGGGGGTGAGGGCTCGTGTTATTTCAGAGCACTGTGGGTAGAGGGTGGGTCTGAACTGCCTAGACACTTCCTGGGCTGAGGCTCTTACAGGGAAGAGACTCAGGCTTCCCCTGCACTCACTCTTGGGATAGAAAACCCAGTTCTGAAAGCAGCAGGACTCTAGGCCCAGCCTGCACCTGATGTGCCACCCAGGGCTCGGCTCTCTCTTCTGCAGCCATGGTGAACGGACTGTTCCTAGACTCTTCAGTGGCCTAGTTCACTTTGGCCTAGACAATAAGCTCTTTGAAGTTAAAATAAGCCGATCTATTTTAGGCTCTTGTTCCTCACATGGGGAAATCTCAAGTTCTGTTAAGGTCAAGTGGTTTCCAGATGCCTCTGACAATGCAGGTCCATTTCTTCCCAAGGGCTGAGAGTCTGCTTAAGCACACACTGCTTCACTGCTCAGAGATGAGGGAGGCAAAGGGCCTTAAGTCTGGTGTTTCTTGAGATGACACTTAGGCTTGTTTGAAAAGTTATTCCAAATGTCTGTCTGAATGCCACCCTGGAGAAGGGAAGACCTTGGTGACATATGCATGCAGACAAGAACCTAGTACCTATGGAAAACTGAGTCTTTTCCGTGGGTGGCCATCAGGAGAACAGGAGAGCAGGTACCACAAGTGTCGGTCTTACAGCCAAACACAAAGAAGCTTTGGTCACTCACACCTCAGTTCTAAGCCCTTCAAATAGCACACATCTATGGGAAGCACACATCTGTGGTTAGCACACATCTATGGTTAGCACACGTCTGTGGTTAGCACACACAGCCCCCCATTATTGTCTCCTGGACTTGAGTTAGTGTAGGTGTGGGTGAGCAGGCAGATGCCTGGGCTTCTGAATGTGGCACATGCACTTAGCAGTAAGGATCTAAAAGCCACTAAGCAGTGGTACAGTTCAGGTCCACACTTCAAAGGACATGTGTTCTTGAGCAGGATTTGTTTTCCTGTCCATCAAGAGAAGAAAAATAAAGCGAGGTCTTCCAGAGGTCCCCTGCCAGGTGTCTTCTTTCTTTCTAGTAAATTATAACTAAACCTCACCCCTACTTGGCCCTAGTCAACATTGCAGCATATAAGGTGACCTATGTCCGTTTGAAGACAGCCATCCAGTATCTGGGACTTTTTCCAGGAAATAAAAACTCATTGGAGAATGGCTGTTTTCAGGTCTGTATCTGTGCGTAAGGCCTGGGTGGGAATGGGTTGCCCTTTCTGCTGCTGCCCTAATGAGATCAGTTAAGGCTGGGATTTCAGATATCACCAAAAAGACCTGAAAATTCATGGAAGAGACCCTTGCCACATTTGTGTGGGAATTGTTTGTCATGGCTGAGGAGTGTCATCGCGGGGTGATGTCTGCTCACAGGTTGTCATTGCTCCTGTCCCTGAGGAATGGTTGCTTGCTGTTCATGGCTCTGGGATGTATGCATGTGCATGTGTCTGCCTGACTGAACCCAGGCACAGAGTGATCACCACAGCAGACTGTTCCCGTCCTCGACAATGTTCCTATTTGTTTTAACCTGTAGGAAGAAGGAGGATTTACAGATGATAGTGCCATTTCTAATCTGCTTTGGGTAAGCCTGACTCTAATGCAGGTGTCCTTCTATAACAGAACACAGTGGATCCCGCTGGTGGGTGCAAAGCTTAGACACATAGCCTGGAGCAAAGAGAGAGGGGTCTACCTTGAGAACACTACCGAGAAACCTCAGAGCCATGCTTCTGAAAAAGAAAGCCAGGGATTCTTAGTGGAATCTTATGTGTATACATGTGTATGTGTGTGTTATACATGTGGATGCATGTATGTATATATACATATGTGCATATATATACACATATACATGTATATAGACACACATATTTTATACATGTATATATGAAAAACTTGTCATATATAGAGAGAGGCCAACATTTTCCTGAATGTGCTTAGTTTGTGGTCCTACATAGCATATTTTATTTTGTTTTTAATGGCATGGGACCATCTCAGGCAAGTGCAGATCATCTGAACAGTGTCACAGTGGCTATGATTGTTTGCTGGTTCCTTGTAATGTTCTCTGGAAATCTGCAAAAACAACCAGCTTTGAAGGAATAGTGCCTCACAGTCCCTTAGAGGGGCAGAGGCCCTCTGCTCACCAAACATAGGTAACTGTCCCTGTGACTGCTAACATGTCTTCCAATTTCATGGCACCTATAGTTTCCCATGTGTTCCTCATTTGTTTTTTATATCCCTGGGCAACATATAGCTTTCATTGAGTGTGGAAGCTGATTCTGTGTCATAATGTAATGAAAATGTCATAAAGTAGTCATGTATGTTACATACTTAAGCTGTTGGAGAAAGGCCCAGGTCTCATCCCTTTAACTAAATATCCATATACATTCATATATGAGTTCCAGTAATCTGTCATTCACTTATTCAGTTACCGCACAACCCTGGCTCAGGTGCATGGAAGGGCTGTGTGGGAGGTATGTCATTCAGCAATGACACTCAAAGGAAGGATGGCCTTAGAACCAAAATTGCAATGAGAAAGTTAACTGTTGGAAACTTGCCATGTGTGTCTCCTCTTCCACCCACTTGCCCACTCCTACACCCTGGTCCGCCTTCCAGTTTCCCCTCTAATCCTCTTGCTCTGCCCTATAGGAACCTGTATTTGCTTCTACTTACTCTCCTGCTATGCCTGCTGCCCATAAACACCTGTCTTTTGTATCTGTTAATCAGGTGAGGAAAAGCTATGAGTTAGGCTGCGTTGCAGTTTCTGAGTGGTAGAGAAGATTTCATTTGGGGGATAAGCAGCTCCTTTGTGGCCTTTCGTTGTATGTGTGGAGAGAAAGGCGGAGGTTGTGTGTATCTGTGTGTGTGTGTGTGTGTGTGTGTGTGTGTGTGCGTGTGTGCGTGTGTGTGTGTGTGTTTGACGTTTACATATTTTTCAAAATAGCTCAACTCACACCCTATCCTTCACCCCATCTTGTTAGGTGGATTCAGTACTATGAATTCCCCCTTGAAGTCATGAAACTGAGTATGAGGAACAGGGTCACTTTTTCTACCTTTGACTTTTCAGTCCTGAGGCAGGAGCCCAGGAAGCATAGAGTATCCATCATTCCAGCTAAGTACAGTGCATTCCTGCCCAGGTCGTTGCTGGTGAACACTCCCTCAGCTCTGACCCACGTTGTCTGCCACTATAGAGGACGGTGTCCCTTCCTTCGTAGGCTTTGTCCTTCCATGACCATCATTCTCACCTCTGATTTTGCTCAACTGATGATCTTAATCTCTGTAGAGCTGGAAATGGGTAGTATTCACTTGGCCCTGTGCCTTCTCATACCTTGAAAGTTTATGTCTCTTCAGTGCTGGGCAATATTCATGAGTCTGAGTGGACTAGGCTTATGTAGCCGTTTACCTCCTTCAATGGCATCTTGATTGTTTTCAAGTTTGGGTAATTGTGGGTAGAGCAGCTATAAGCAAAAGCCCACATGCAATTTGTTGTTATTGTTGTTGTTAAGACACAAGTTTCAACAGTCAGGTATTAAAGGACATGACTGAGAAATTGTATGGTAAGAGCATGCTTAGTTTCCCAAGAAGCTTCCAGATGTCTTTCACAGTGGCTACATAAAGTTCACATTTCCCCAGTATCCAATGAGGTGTGTCATGTTGCTCAAAGTCTATAATAGCTTTCAATGTCCGTGTCTTAGATTTGGGCCATACCAAAAGACAATAGGGTCAAATTTTAACGTGTGAGTCCCTCACAATGTGTCATTGTTGAATATATTGTCATATGGTTCTTTTCTATCCGTGTGTGTTCTTTGGTGATGTATCTACACAGATGCTTTGTTCATCCGTTTCCCAGTCATTGAGTTTTAAAGTCCTTTGGGAATCTTTGGTAGCAGTCCTTGGTTAAATAAGGTCTGCAAATATTTCCTTCCATCCTATGGTTTGCCTTCTCATTCTTCCGACAGATCTTCTACAGAGCAGTTTATTAATTCCAGTGAAGTCCAGCTGGGCAACTGATCCTTTCAAGATTCATGCCTTTGGTATTCTACCTAAAAGATGATTATACCCAGGCTGGGAAACATAACATGCATGAGGCCATAGGTTTGATCTTTGTAGGGTGGTGGTGGTGGTGTGTGTGTGTGTGTGTGTGTGTGTGTGTGTGTGTGTGTGTGTGTGTGATTAAGTTCATGTCTAGATTTTCTCCTATTACCTCTTAGGAGTTTTATAATTTTACACTTCACAGATTAAGACTATGAGCCACTTGGAGTTAGTCTTGTGAATTACATATGATCTAATCTAGATTCGTTTTTGTTTTGTTTTATATGTATGCAAATATTCCATTACATGACTTCTTAGTGCCTTTATTCCTTTACTCCTCAGGGTTCAGTCAGCTGTAGGTATATGGATCTGGTTCTAGACTTTGTATTCTGTTCTGATGGTGTAGTCAGTGCCATACTGTCCTGAGTCCTGTAACTTCCAGCTGAGTCTTCTGCCTTCATCCTTCTTCAGTTTCCCTGGGCTGTTCCAAGGCTTCTGCTTCTCCATATACATCCAAGTTCAAGATAAGCTTATCTATTTATAAAAGATTTTTATTAGGACTACATAGGATCCAGAGAGTATCAAATTGGTGAGGACTGAGTTGAACATCTATCCATGAACATTGGATATCTTCCATTGAATTTTTATTAAGTTAAGAAACATAACAGTCATCAAAAGCAATTTATGTTTTATGATCTCAAACCTTCAAAAATGTTAAGCCATGTATTATCACCTTTAACCCTTTGCCCAGATGAACGTGTTAACATGCTTATATATGAGTTTAACAGTGTTCTCAGTGATGAGGTAAGTCCTTTACTTTGCCCCAGAAGTGGTGGTATCTTGAAGTTTCAAGATTCAAGAGTACAGAGAAGGAAGCAATGTGTTGGAACAGTGCACAGGCTCTGTGAGGCAGCGTGCAGCCTCTGCTTCCTTGCCTGCTCCAAGGCACTGTAAAGAGAGTGAGATGCTGTTCCCGACCCACCAATTCCTGCTTTCCAGTCTTCCTGGCACTTCCCTCTCCCTCTCTTTAGTCCCCTCTCCCATGTCACATGTGACTGTATGAGTCTGTGTCCCTGTGTTTGACTGAGTACGTGTGGCTGTGCATGTGAGTGTGTATGGCTGTGTATGTGTACTGTTAATGTGGTTACACATTACACATACAATGGTTGTGTATGTATATATGTATATGTGTATCTACATGTGTGGCTGTGTATATGAATGTGTCTGACTGTATGTGTCTAATTTTATCTTTCCTTTCTAAACTGTGAGCCTGATGTTTGTGTAGTATGATGACCTGCTCTATTTAGTACTTCAGTGAGAGCTGCCCAAAGTCAAGGCGTTTTCCTTCACGCCCATGGTTCAGTGAGGCAATGATCAAGACCAAGAGGCTTGTCGGGCTCATGATAACCAATCCAGACCTGTGTTTGCATTGTCAGTTTTCCCTAATAATATTCATATTAACCATGCTCTTTGTGACCACCCTTGGGCCCACACCAAAATCATGCATTGCATTTAGCTGTCAAACTCTGGTACAAGGTTGTCGCTTGGTCTGAATTACTATCAGAATCTGTTATGATCTAAAGCCTCCTCCTGGGCTCCCTTAGTTGCCTAAGTTCCCAGGTGACATCACTGCAGAACTGGAAGGCCCACCCAGTCCTGAGGAATCGTGTAATTCACATTCCTTCCAACCAGCTCTCCTACTTCATCAAACTCATGCCCTTGAGGAGCTGAGTTAGATGAATGTTCCACTAACCATGCTCTTTGTGAGCACACATGGGTAAACTCTCCTCGTGAACTCACCCAGGATCAGGACACAGGTAACACACGGCAGCTTTGCCTCTTAACCTGTTTTGTCCCTGGGCAAATGCTGCCAGGCTAAAGCTTACACCTCCATCTTTCTCCTTCTTTTTTTCCCCTTCGGTGCATTTTGTACACAGAGAGTCACAGAGAGTCGAGAGAGCCAGATGACGATTGAGGAGAGGAAGCATCTCATCACTGTGCGTGAGGAAGCGTGGAAGACCAAGGGCAGAGGCGCTGCCAACGACTCCACACAGTTCACCGTGGCAGGAAGAATGGTGAAGAAAGGTCAGGCCTGCGCGTGCACACATCTATGTGTGCGCGTCTGTGGGCACACACAGCAGGGCACACCTGTCCACGAGGGAGGATGGTACATGACAACACAGCAGGGGGGAGGGAGGCCCTGGTCTTGACATCTCACACTGCACTGGTGTTGAGTGAGCCAGTGGGTTTTTAGGGTTGTGTAGGGTGTTTCTGCCGCCACCATGGAAGCCTTTGGTAACAGGCAGCTTAGCAATAAGGAGTCCCTCTTGTTCTTTGCAACTCAGTTTCATGTCCCTTGACTCTAGCTTTGTCAGCTGGGGCTTACAGAGATCCATTTGCAGGCATGTGACAGATATCTAAAAGATGTTCTGAATTCCAGAGAAGAGATAGGGACGCCCTGCAGATCACCTAGGGCACCACAGACCCCAGAACTCTGTCAAGCTAAACCCAGAGATGCAGGAAACAGCACTGTGTCACCTTGATCAGTGGTCTCCAGAGAGTTTGCGGGGGGTTGGGGTCTGAATTCATGTTCTGTGGCACATGGTTAAATGTTAGGGTCCCTCTGTCCTCCATGTGGATGTGCTCCCATTTCTCAATAGCAGATTTCCCAGTTACTGGTAATATCCTCACATGCACTTAGCCTTTGGGGTCTGCCAGCTCCTCCGCCAGTTTAGTGGTCTTTCACCTCAGACCGTCCATTGTGAATAAAGCCTAACTCTTTCATGGCATTCAAGAGACGTTTGCAGAAGGGAGGGGAAGGGAAGGAAGGCAAACCTTGGTGAGTAATTTCCTTGAATCTTACTGGAAGAAGGCTTTAAGGCAAAGATGTCAACCTTGAAGGACAGCAGAAGGCCATTTGTCCTAACAGGATGAAGTGGGACCTGGCGTAAGGAGATCATGAAACTGTTTAGTCAGGTGTAATCTGGAGCCCACCCCTCCCCCCCCCCCCTCCCCCATCCCCCACCCCCCCACCACCACCGCTTATTAACAAGAGGCAGGGCTCTGGGCTCAAAGCCATTAAAGGCAACTGGACCTAAAAGTCTTCAGCTGCAGACTCCAGCTTGTATTCTAATAGTGATATGCTCAGTTTCTATTTTAGTTTATTTTGCCATCTCATCTGAAGAGTCCTAACTGGGCTCCTCCCATGTACCCCTGCCTTTGTGCCCTGACCCACACTGTTGGTCTGGTTATGGAGTAGTTGACCCCACAGTGATTGTTCTGTCCCTATCTCCCTGCACAAGCCCTGATTTTCTCAGGGTTCGTAAGTCATGGGTCTTTCTGGGGATAATAATTTCCTTGATTTTAATCTGATACAGAAGAACACCTCTATTTTTGAACTATTAGTTCTTTTTAATTTGCAATTATATGACATCTGGTTTTTGTTGACCACAGATACAACAGTTCCAGACCCGAATGTACTCGACAGCCACAGGATTCTACTCTCACAGTCCCAGTGGCCCATTCAGACAGTTTCAGGGTTTCATTGTTTCTCCCCGGGAAGCTCTGAGCTCTCCTGACTTCTTTTGGACATTTTCTGCTTTTGATATCCTTCTACTCTGTGTAACAATTACCACATCACAAGATCTCGCTAGTAGTCTGAGTTGGGAGGAAGACCTTAGAGCATGCTATGACTAAATGACAATATTTCCAGAGGAGGTCCATGTCTGTTGCTTTTAGAGCTCACTTAAAAGAGCTGTGGGGAGACCTTTGGTTGCTTTAATACTTCAAAACTTCACCCTATATCCCCTATATTCCTCCATCGCATTATGGGGAAACCCATAACATCTCTAGCTGGGAAGGCAATGTCTCACAGGTCCTGGAACTCTTCTTCACTGTGGCCTGACTGACAGCAGGGGGCACTATAGCAGCGGGATTTGCCCTGTGTCCCTGAAGAAGGGCAGATTTTGCTAGTTGCTTTGGGACTATCAGCCTGCTGAGCTGAGTGAGTCTAGTTTATTGCCTTCAGAGCCAATGAACTCCTCTGGTAACTCAAGCACTCTTTAGTATGACTTGATGTTTGTCCTATTTTGTGACACCCGATTATACTTATATTACTACATTTCAAGAAATCTTACTTTCTCTTGGACATGAGTATTTTGCTGGCCTGGCAACAGAAATGAGTTTTAGAATATAGGCACATATATTTGCAAGTGTATATGCAAATGAATATTGGAAAGTGTTTCCAGCCTGTTGCTCAGAGCTTAAGTATTGAGTCAGTTCCAGTCTTGCCTTTTTCCTGCATTTGAATGCTTCATTTGCATGTCTAGCTCATAGAAGGAAGGAGCAGAACTCTCCTCTCTGTAGATGAGGGTAACATACATGTTTTCTGCTGTTCTAGGACAGCACTTACAGGGCTATGTCCTCTTACACACACACACACACACACACACACACACACACACACACTGCAGAGTGTGCAGAGAGTAGCAGCGGGTCTTTCTTTACAAACACTACACTTACTTCCCTCCCCAGTGTCCTCTCCTCAGGTAGGAGTGGGTATCTCTAAACTTTCTATCTGATGTTTTCATATTTCAACTGAGTGCCCTCTGGGCTAAAAGTCCCTTTTGCACTTTTCATATGTCCTTCAACCTCTGCTTGAGTAGGTACTTCCCACCCTCTGTCTTAGGGAACATGTGATTATTTTTAGCATACCTTAGCTGTGTGAGCCTTACCCTCCCAGAATCCCAGATGGATATGATGTGTGTTCTTTCTTCTGAACACTCAGACCTCTGGCTTGTCCTCCACACAGTGAGTGCTCATACATTCACCCTGCCATTGCCTCCTCACAGACTGGAGAGAGTCCTGTCGCCTGGGGCCTTGCTACCTCAGACAAGGAAGCTTACTCCAAAGGTCCTCTGTGGGAGATGGTGCAAATTTGCTTTTTTCCTGGGGCCCCCACCACTCCAGAAGACCCTCAGAAACTCCCTCTTGTTCCGGTGTATTCTGGAAGCCATGTACACTCTCACTCCGTTCATAGGCTATGGAGATGCTTACCTTGTCTTTACTGTCTATTTTGGAGTATCAGCTTACAGTTACAGGAAGAGGAAAATCTCAGATATGGCTGCATTTGGTGGCAGCCTGTGCATACTTGTGTATATACTTGTGATGTAAGGACATGTATGGGTTCATTGGGTTCTGTAAACTTCCACAGTTTATCTTGAACATGCTAAACTGTGCCTTTGTGTCTTCTGCAGGTCTGGCATCACCCACAGCCATAACCCCCATCTCATCCCCTCTCTGCAGTAAATCAAGGGGCACTACCCCGGTTTCCAAACCTTTGGAAGGTATGTGTCCCTGTCCACAGTGACATGATCATCTGAACATGGAAGCTCATGGGTGCTTGCTTACAGATGGTGTCTACTTGTTTAGATATTGAAGCCAGACCAGATATGCAGCTGGAATCGGACCTGAAGTTAGACAGGCTGGAAACCTTCCTAAGGAGACTGAATAACAAAGGTATGTGCCAGAAGCCAGAGGGGAGCTACATCCTGTCTTACTACCCTCCCCCCCCCAACCCCCCCCCTGGGGGTGCGGTCTCCTAGGACCGCTTAGTACCAGCTTTAACCCCATTAACTTTTCCCGTTTTGTTTTTGTTATTGCTGTTGATTTGTTTTTTGAAACAAAGTATCATTTAGACCAGGCTAGCTTTGAACTTACTTCATTCCCAAAGATAACCTTGAAGGACAGGCATGTACCACAATAGCTGGTTCTCCAAATCCTACTTCTGACTGCTTTCTCTCTTCAGCCAAGTTGTCTCCTTAATATCTACTTTCTTAATTTATACAGACAGACAGACAGACAGACAGACACACACAGACACACAGATACACACACACACACACACACACACACACACACTTAAAATCTGCTGTTATTCTTCAAAAAATGAACTTGTAGTCAGTACCAACCAGCATTCTAACTCTGATCCACTTAATAATATCCTAAATTTAGGATGCCTAATAGTGCACTTGTTACTGACTCAAAACCCTTGGGATGCCATCCAATCCAAGCATAACTCAGAGATTTTGTCTTTTTACTATAAAGCAATTAATGTACAAATAGAAAATCAACTTACTTTTGGATGGGCTTTGAACTTGGCATCATTTCTGTTAAGGCAAAAAGTATGTTAATTTCTAGAATAAAACTCTAGCAAAAAGATAATGCAATAAACACTTTATTATAATAATTGGTGACACAAAAGGCAATATGCAGGAATAGCCTTTTCTCTCTTGATAAAACATATCTATTCATCAAGTACCAGGTACTAGGAGTCCCTACAGGCTGAAAGTTACACAAACACTGAAAACCAGAGCTATCAGGTCAGAATATAATAGTTAATTTGACTGTGTAAGATATATTAATGATAAATCTATTACAAATCTTTGTTAGGGTTTCTATGGCTTTGATAAATACCAAGACCAAAATCAACCTAGAAAGGAAAAGGATTTATTGGTTGACTGATTGGTCTTACAACTTGTAGTCCATCATCCAGGGGGCTCAGGGCAAGTACTCAAGTAAGGCTGCAACCTGGAGTTAGGAACAAATGTAAAGGCCATAGAGAAGCACTGCTTACTGTCAGTGCACCTTGTGGCTTCAGCCTGATTTCTCCCAGCGCCAAGGACCACTTGCCTGGGGTCTGCACCACCCTCAGTGGGCTGGAGCCTTCCACATCAGTCACTACTCAAGAAAATGATGCCTGGGTTTGCCCACAGGCCAATCTCATGGGGACATTTTCTTAGTTGACACTCTCTTTTCCCAAATGACTCTAGCCTGTATCAAGCTGACACAGAACTAGCCAATACAATGGAATAACAGTGATCTAATCCGTGATCACCTGACAGTGGCCATGACCACCACAGTGTTCTACCTGCTTTTGGAAATAAAGTTTTATTGGAACACAGCTATGTCCTTTTGTTGAACTGCTGTCTGTCCATAGCCACTTTTACACTATAACAGCAAGGCTGGGGAATTACATACTAAGCTGTGTGCTCTCCTCAGACTAGTCCCAAATGCTTTCTAGTTCTTTCCAGAAAACATTTGCAGAACCCTAATATGGAATAAGGCAAAGGGTAGCTTCCTCTGGTAGAAACACATCAGGTTCACAAGTGCTCATGTGCCTGTGAGGGCAAGGTCATCCATCCTGCTTCCTGTCCTGACCATCACTGCACAGGTGGGATATCCCCCTGAGAGATGTGGAGTGAGCTGGGAGCTGGGGTGCAGGGTAGACAGGAAGAGGGCTTTGGACCTCACTGCTGTGCTTTCCCCACGCTGGGATCTTAGAGAGGGGACATAAAGCATTGCAGGGAAAGGTCATAGTAATTGTTTCTTGGAAGCTCAAAGTATATTTGCTCCATTGTTGATAGTTGCTGGGATGCAGGAAACAGTTCTCACGGTCACTGGCAAATCTGTCAAGGAGGTGATGAAGTTGGATGATGATGAAACCTTTGCCAAATTCTACCGCAGCATGGATCACAGTATACCCAGAAGTCCTGTGGAGCTGGAGGAGGACTTCGATGTCATTTTTGACCCTTATGCTCCCAAGTGAGTTTGAGAATGGCTCCCTTCACGTGCCCCCCCAGTCCGGTCACCAGAAACTTCTGCCGTGGGTATTTGCTCTAGAGGGTCAGCCTGACGTACTTGCATGTCTGCTGCATGTGCCCTGGATGTCTGTGCAGTCTTGAAGGGTGTGACTGGCTTTCCCGTCACCCAGGCATTGCTTTGTGGGGTTTTATAATATCACCACTTAGCATTTTCCACAATTCTCCCACTGGACACCACTGAACTTACTCATAGCTTGATACTTGATTTATATGAGCTCAGATTAGCACAGTGAATTAGAAAATCAGCAGCCATAGTTCTTTGCTTCCAGCAGTGTATAAAATTGATATGTCCATGGGCTTTCTCAGAGGCACTCAAAGGTGTCCAGACGAACATTATAAAGAGTGATTGTGTGTTAGGATTCCTGAAAAATACATATGTTGAACTGAGATCAACAAAAACAAGCAAACAACAAATAAACCAAGTTAGAGGACAATTTAGTTTAAACTCAGGTATGCCTTGAGTGGACAGCGACAGTTGCAACACAGTCCTAAGTCTGTCTTTCCATATGCTGGCTTCTCTCTTGGTCAAACTGCAACCATAGGGAAAGCAGTACCCGCATCCAGTACCAAATGGACAGGCTACTAAGTCAACCCAGAGTCACTTCCCAGTAGATCCTTAAGCAGCCATAGGGAAAGAGGTACCTGCATCCAGCATCAGATGGACAGGATACTCAGTCAACCCAGAGTCACTTCCCAGTAGATCATCAAAGACCAGGTTTGTGCTTCATTGTTCCAGCTTGGGTCCAAAGTCCACTCTTAAACCATTCGTGCAATCCAGTGGACAGATATCCATCAACCAGAGGGGTGAGGTAAACCCCAGAGGAAGCCTCATATACCATCAGGGGGAACTTGTCCTGAGCAAGCTGCACACAGCCCGCACTGCACTTCTCTGCTCCTCCTATGCAATCATCAGAGCACCTGTGTCGTCCATGTTCACTCATGGAAAGTTCCCATCAACTCCTCCTGGTGCGTGCGATGTGCTGCTTTGCATGTTTCCGTCCGTTCAGTTAACCTTCTACCCATCTAGCCGTCATTGCTGAAGCTGCTATATATAACTGTGAAATGGAATAACTTAGACAAAAGTGTATTTGTGCTCACGTGCGTACTAAGGATGCTTCCAGGCACAGAGACTAAGCCCTTGGCAGTTCTCTATCACCACGAGTCTGTTGGGAGGTCATACCACTGATACACTGCTTCCACAAGCTGATCCACCCAGACTTGGGTGAGACAGTCTCAGGGGTGATTCTGAAGGCTTATTTTATTCCAGAATATTCTTCATAGATGTGGTTACTTTCCTCAGGTACCTGGTAGGCTGAGTTAATAAGAGCTATAAACAGAAAAGCCATGTATGATGAAAAAATTTAGTCTAGGGAATAAAGATTCAATGGAAATGCCATTGCCATCTGTCAAGTCGCTGAGAACTTGTTGGTGACAGGAGTAGGGGTGTGTGTGTGTGTGTGTGTGTGTGTGTGTGTGTGTGTGT